TTTTTTTTAATTCCATTTCTCTTTTAACAGGTTCTATCTGTCATCATTTATTACAACCATTATTTTCTTTTAGGATTTGAACTTATTTATAACAGCTAATTCCAGTATCTACATTATCTCAAGTTCTGTTTCTGTTGATGGCCTTTCCTTCTTATTGTGAGTTACATGTTTGTGTTTCTTCCCACATCTAGAAAATTGTGACTGGATGCTGAGCATGCATTATTGAGACACTGGATTGTGTTCTGTTCCTCTGAAGAGTACTGACTTTTGTTCTAGCCCGCAGTCAAATTACTGGCCACTTTGAATTTGTAGAGGTGTGGTCTTAACGTTTCATTAGGTCCAGTCTGTTTCTGTTTTGCCTTTTGCCCTTAGCTAGATCCTCTTGTCCTGGGTTTTTTGCTTCTAAGCTATGGCCATTCTGGGGTAACAAACAGCCTGAAGTGTTTACAGAGCCTTCAAAATTGATGAGATGCAAATTCTGAACCCTGTCTCCACTGCAGTAGCCAATAGCTGAGATTTCTACTTCTAGCTTTTGATGATACAACTGTTGCTTTTCCCTGAACTCCAGAGGGTCTCCCCAGCACTTGGGCTATTCAGTAGTTAGACAAGAACTTGAAGAAACTTTTACATGCCAATTTAATCACTCTCAGCTCTGAGGCTCCCACTGTATGGGATTTGTTTCTTCAATTTTCTGCCATTCTGGCAGCTACTATCTTCTGACATCTCAAGCAACTTTCTGTTTATTTTCTAACTGCCCTGTGCTGTACAGACTGGAGAGGAGCATGCAGCATAGGACAGTTAGGAGATCAACAGAATCGGGGGGAAAGCTGTTTAAATACGGATCTCACTCTGTACAGGTCCCTTCTTTCAAGAGTGAAATCCCCTCCAGTTTTTATGTGCCTTTGGTACCTTCAAATACTTTTTTTTCTATATATTTAATACAGTTTCTTTCATTTCTATCCGTAGGACGGCTACTTTGGTACAAGCCACTCTGCTATTATTGAAACTGGAACTCCCCCTCTCTTTGTTTAGATAAGTGGTGGCAGATCATAAATCCTTCATCTATCTTTTCTCATCCAACCATAGATTCTGGATGCTAGTCCTTAGCAAAATGTTGAGATGCTCCCCATTCATTTTTACAGTTACATAGTACTCCATTGTTTAGAGATATAATTTATTAAATCAGCCTCCTATTGATAGCTATTCCAGTGATTAAGTACTTTTGAATTTATGGCAGTGGGTTATACAGCAGTCACAAAATAAGCCCTCTGCCTTCAAGGAGATGATCTTTTAATATTATGAACAGTATTTTTGTTCAATGTTTCATATGATAGATGAGATCTAGTAGAACTTTCAAAAAAAAAAGTCCCCATTTTCTTCTTAACCCTGTATAACTTAAAACCACCATGTCTGTCTCTGTTTACTGACCCTGTCACATTCCTGAATTTCCTTTATGTGCCATATATATATATATATATATATATATATATATATATATATATAAAATCTTAAGGGGCAAAGGTGATATGTTTGGCTTGCTTTACTTAGAACTGTGGACAATTCTTTGACCAGAACAAGGACCAGCAAGCATGCACACCCTTTTGGTGAGACTGCCCTGGGAACAGATGTGGCCAGAGAGAGTTCATTGAGCTGAGTGTGGAGCTGTGTAGAAATTCCACTCTTATGGGCAGATTTCTGTCCTTCTGTATCTTAGCAGGGGCTTCTGGAGCCACGTGGGTGCTGGTCCATTCCCTGCCCCAGCCCTCGGAGCTGCTGCTGCTGCTGAGCTGTGTCCACTTCTGATGTTGTCCTTGCTCACATACCACCAGCTTGCAAGTTCAAGTGGGATGGGTTGGGGATATTGTTAGAGGTGTCCATCCATCCTGCTTCTTCCTTACCTCTGCCTGTCTCTCAGTACTTGTAGGGTCTATGCACTCAGGAGCAAAGTGCTCCCAAAAGTTCTTTCAAGTTCAGTAAAATTGTCATTCTGTAAATTGGGGCCCCTGTGCATGCTTAGAGCAGGTTTTCTTGTGACCTTGTTTCGTAGTTTCTGTGTTGCAGTGATAGGTGTTGTCATGAGTACACAGGTTCTAGAATCTGACTGGAGTCTGATTCTAATCCCCTAACTGGCTGTGTGACCTTGGGTAAGTTGCTTAACTTCTGTATGCCTCACTTTGATCATCTGTAAAAAAGGGGTAATGGTGATATCTCCTCTTACGAGTGCTATAAGGTTGGGCTTTTTTTCCCCTCTTTTTTTGAGACAAAGTTTTGCTCTGTCGCCCAGGCTGGAGTGCAGTACTTGATCTTGGCTCACTGCAACCTCCACCTCCCAGGTTCAAGTGATTCTCATGCCTCAGCCTCCCGAGTAACTAGGATTACAGGTGGGAGCCACCACATTAAGCCAAGAGTGCTATAAATTTTAAACAGTGAAATCCAGTATCTAAGATACAGTTATTACTAATAATTATTACTAATATTATTAACATTTTCTCTAATACAAATAACTCCTGGAGGTAGAGAATATGAAAATGTAAGTCAATAAAAGCATCTAGAGAGAAACCCCTAAGAACCCTTCTACCTCTGAAAGCTAAATAGAAGAGTCTAATAATGGCCAAAAGAGGGGGAATGGAGGTTTTGCTTGTGCTTATAGGCCATGGGTAGGTGATTACAGAATGCTTGTAAACATCCCTAGGTTGTCTGGCAATACAAGAATAGTTTCAATATGCTCACTTTAAATTGTTTGTTACGCAGTGAAAATGACACTGAAATCTGGGGAGAAAGATTCTTTACATACACCTACACGCTCCTCCACTTACCGCCTGTAGAGCCACAGGGAGGTTCCTGTCCTGCCAATTCACTGGGATCTATGATTGTCTTTCCCTCTGCTCCACAGATAACTGTGTCCAGAGGACCCCCAGGCCATCCGTGGAGAATGTGCACCACAACCCTCCCACCATTGAACTGTTGCACCGCTCCAGGTCACCCATCACCACAAATCACCGACCTTCTCCTGACCCCGAGCAGCGGCCCCTCCGGTCCCCCCTGGACAACATGATCCGCCGCCTCTCCCCAGCTGAGAGGGCGCAGGGACCCAGGCTGCACCAGGAGAACAACCACCAGGAGTCCTACCCCCTGTCAGTGTCTCCCATGGAGAATAATCACTGTCCAGCGTCCTCCGAGTCCCACCCGAAGCCATCCAGCCCCCGGCAGGAGAGCACACGCGTGATCCAGCTGATGCCTAGCCCCATCATGCACCCTCTGATCCTGAACCCCCGGCACTCCGTGGATTTCAAACAGTCCAGGCTCTCCGAGGACGGGCTGCATAGGGAAGGGAAGCCTATCAACCTCTCCCATCGGGAAGACCTGGCTTACATGAACCACATCATGGTCTCTGTCTCCCCGCCTGAAGAGCACGCCATGCCCATTGGGAGAATAGCAGGTGAGTGAGCTCCCCTGTCGCTGCTCCAGCATAGTGGAGACCTGACAAAGCCCCCCTCTCCCCTGTGATCCTTGCAGCCAGCCTCGCACCGTTCCCAATTAGGTGCCCTCCAAGGCTCTGTGAGGTTACGTGGAGGCTTCTGCCTGGATGAGGCGAAATCCCTAATGGCTTGGTTAATGAGCCGCTGGGATGGAGTAGTTAATGAGCCTCTGAAATGTTAAGAAACAAATGTCCTACGTCCAGCTTACAAGGAGAGGCACATCAGAACCAAGGCTAAGCGAAAACATTTAAAATAAAAGGTTTATGAGCATGCTAATGGCCCTGTCCTGAGGTTTCCAGCAGCTAATTAATGACCAGACACAGCATAAAGCAGCTTTGTCTCAGATTCAGGCCTGTAATTCCATCCTGTAAGCAGTAACTTCATGCAGCCTTCACCTTGGGGGAGGGTGTAGGAGAGGAAAACAGGATTATGGTATCGGAGGCAGGTGTTGCTGGGCTATTTGGACAGAGGAAACCACTCCCAGATTCTCTTTCATTTATGATAAGAAGCCCAAATTTGCTTACCTAAGGGAAGAAACCAGTGGAAACCAGTGGGGAAAATATCTACACATTGTGAATTTCCTAGGATGCTCATAATAGGTGCTGCCATGCGCATGGCAACATAACAGCAGGTACTCTGCAAACCTACGTTACCTCTGCCTTGAGGTACTGTCCTTTTTTATTTAAATCATTTGTTGCTAGATTTTTCTCTGGCCCCAAGTGCACCACCAGTATCACCTCAATTTCATTGTTATAAATAATTTACATCAGGGATGTTGAATCAAGAAAATAGATGGCAAAGAAATATGACGTATATGTTTTAAAAACTATGAAAAATGAAATGATATACGTTTGAGATTCAATTCAAAATGATCAGAGTTAGGAGGTGGAGTGTGAGTGGGGTCTACATAAAACAAGGCTAGCCAGCACTAGCAGGTGGTTATATGTCTGGGTGATGGATGCGTGGGGGTTAATATTATTGATTTCTTTGCTTTTACCTATACATTAGATTGTTTAAATCAGAAAATGGAAAAAAAAAAACTGGGGAAAAAAGAATAGTAGATAAAGAAGCAGAGAGCTTAGGCAAAACATGTGAATTTCCTCAGATAATTGGAGAAGTAGGATGAGGTCAGTATTCTGTAAGTGACCCATTTTGTGCTTTCCAGGCAATACCCTTCTTATCTATATGCCCTCGTCTCTTGCGTGGTGGGTACAGCAGTACTTGACATTTTGCACCTACCTTTTTGCTTGTTTATAATTCTCAGGACGGCTCTTTGAGGTAGCTTTTAACTGCAGTCTTCATCTTATGTGGAAGGGCCATTTGTATAGGGGAAGCCACAAAGGAAACTGAGTCACAGAAAGGCAAAGGCCTTTGCCAAGGTCAGATGGGGCCCAGTGACCAAGGTGTGCAGGACAACCCTTGCTGCCCTTGGCTGCTGTCCGTAGTGCTGCCCTCGTGGGCCTGGCTTTCTTCTGAAGCCCTCTCATGTCTGCCTCCCAGGTGACACTGCCTTCACCACTTTTTGGGAATCTACCATAAGCCCATGAGTCAACAAAGAAACATGGTTTAGACTTGAGGAGCTATTTTTCCCTGGTTTAGTAGGTTTGTAAATTCAAAATATTAGTCTCTTAAAAATACACTACTTTTTTTTTTTTTTTTTTTGAGACAGAGTCTTACCCTGTCACTCAGGCTGGAGTGCAGTGGTTTGATCTTGGCTCATTACAACCTCCGCCTCCCAGGTTCAAGTGATTCTCATGCCTCCGCCTCCCAAGTAGCTGGGATTACAGGTGTGCACCACAACACCCAGCTAAATTTGTATTTTTAGTAGAGACGGGTTTTCTCCATGTTTACCAGGCTGGTCTCAAACTCTTCACCTCAGGTGATCCACCCACATCGGCCTTCCGAAGCACTGGTATTACAGGCTTTCTTTTTTAATTTCCCTCTTTCCCCACTCCCTCCCTCCCTTGCCTTTGTTTCCTTTCTTCCTCTTTCTTTCTCTCCTTCCTTCCTTCTTTCCTTCTCTCTCTCTCTCTCTTTCTTTCTTTCTTTTTCTTTCTTTCTTTATTATCTTCCTTGAGTTTCACTCTTCTTGCCCCCTGGGATCAAGCAATTCTCCTGTTCTCCTGCTTTAGCCTCCCAAGTAGCTGGGATTACAGGCATGTGCCACCATGCCCAGCTAATTTTGTATTTTTAGTACAGATGGGGTTTCTCCATGTTGGTCAGGCAGGTCTCGAACTCTCAACCTCAGGTGATCCACCTGCCTCGACCTCCCAAAGTCCTGGGATTACAGGTGGGAGCCATCATGGCTGGCCCCCTTCCTTCCTTCTTTTCTTCTTTCTTTCTCTTTGTCTCTTTCATTTTCTTTGTTTCTCTTTTTCGCCCTTTCCATTCCTTTCCTTCCTTTTTTTCTCTCTTTCCTTTTCTTTCTTCCTTCCCTCCCCACCTTCCACCTTTCTCCCTTCCTGCCTCCTTCCCCCCTCCTTCTTTTCTTTTCTTTCGAGACAGAATCTGTCACCCAGATTGGAGTGCAGTGGTGTGATCATAGTTCACTGCAACCTGAAACTCCTGGGCTCAAGCAGTCCTCCTGCCTCACCCTCCTGAGTAGCTGAAACTTCAGGTGCATGCCACCACACCCAGACTGTCTGTCTGTCTGTCTGTCTGTCTATGTATGTATGTATCTATCTATCTATCTATCTATCTATTAATATTTTGTAGAGAAAGAGTCTTGCTATGTTGACCAGGCTGGTCTCAAACTCCTACTTTTAAGTGATCCTTCTGCTGTTGCCTCCCAAATTGTTGGGATTACCAGTGTGAGCTACCGTGCCTAGCTGGGTTTTTTCTCCTGCATTTTGTTAATGTGATGTACTACACTGATTTTGATGGGTTGTGCATCCTTGCATTCTGGAAATAAAATACCACTCAGTCATGGTGTACAATCCTTTTAATGCTTTTGAATTAGTTTTGCTAGTATTTTGTTGAGAATTTTTGAATTAATATTCTTACAGAGTCTTTGTTTCTCTTTAACATCAGGGTAATGCTGGCCTTATAGAACGAGTTACAACATGTTCCTTTCTCTTTAATTTTTTGGAAGAGTTTTAGAAGGATTGGTATTCTTTTTAAATATTTGGTGGACTTTACCAGTGAAGCCATCTGGTCCAGGGGTTTTCTTTGTTGGGAGGTTTTTGATTATTGATATAATCTCCTTAGTAGTTACATCTATTCATATTTTCTATTTCTTCATCAGTTAGTGTTGGTAGTTTGTGTGTTTCTAGTAATTTTTCCACTTCATCTAGGTTCTCTAGTTTGTTGGTGTTCATTTATTTATAGTACTATAATCCCTTTTCTTTCTTTTCTTTTCTTTTTTTCTGGAGTTTTGCTCTGTCACCCAGGCTGGAGTGCAGTGGCACAATCGTGGCTCACTGCAACCTCCGCCTCCTGGATTCAAACAATTCTCCTGCCTCAGCCTCCGAAGGAGCTGGGATTACAGGCACATGCCCCCATGTCCAACTAATTTTTGTAGTTTTAGTAGAGACAGGGTTTCACCATGTTGGCCAGGCTGGTTTCATATTTCAGATCTCAGATAATCCACCTGCCTTGGCCTCCCAAAGTGCTGGAATTACAGGCACGAGCTACCTTGCCCAACCATGTCTATGAGGTTGGTAATAATGTCCCCATTTTCGTTTCAAATTGTAGTAATGAATCTTCTCCATTTTGTTCTTAGTCAATCTAGCCAAAATTTTTTCAATTTATCTTTTCAAAGAACCAATTTTTGATTTTGTGAGTTTTCTCTGTTTCTTTTCTATTTTATTTTTCTTCACTCTAATCTTTATTATTTCCTTTATTCTGTTATCTTTAGGTTTAATTTGCTTTTCTTTTTTTCTAGTTCCTTAAGGTACGTTGTTTAGTTATTGATCTTAGACCTCTCTTCTTTCTTAGAGTATGTGTTTGTAGCCATCAATTTCCCTCTAAGCAATTGCTTTCACTGCATTTTACAAGTTTTAGTATGTTGTGTTTTCATTTTCATTTCTCACTAGGTATTTTCTACATTCCCTTGTGATTCCCTATTTGACTCATTTGTTGGTCAAGAGAGTGTTGTTTTGATTTTCTAGTTGTCTTTCTATTATTGATTTCTAGTTTTATCCCATTGTGATCAGAAAAAATGCTTTGATTTAAATATTTAAAAAATTTTTTTTATACAGACAGGGTTTCCCGAGGCTAGTCTTGAACTCCTGGGATCAAGCAATCCTCCTGCTTTGGCTTCCCTATGTATTGAGATTACAGGTGTACACCCACACCCAGCTAATTTTTGGATTTTTAGAAGAGNTATATATATATATATATACACACACACACAATTTTTCATAAATTCTAACTTTTCATTATCTAATATCACTGAAATCCCGTCATACAATTAAGATAGATGCAAAGTTGTCTGTTAGGTATTTACCATATGGAAAAACTAAAATAAGAAAGGAAATTTAGTAGGTGGTTGACAGTTTAAATACAAATCACAAATGACATCTATTTAAATATAACATGTAGCTTATTTTTAAAGGTGTCACTTACTTCGCATAGGATAAGGAGGACTGTCATTATGAGTTTACCAGGTTTGAATGGCTAGTGTCTACAGGAGAGAATTTAGCACAAGACGGAGTGAGACAAGATCTCTGGAGTTGTTTTTGAATCCAGCAGCCAACGGAGTATGGAACAGTGAGAAGGTTGCTTCTTTCTGTGCTTGTTTTCTGCCTGGTATCTTTAGGAATGGGTTATTTCGGAGCAAGGAGCCTAGCAAAAAGCATCTGTCAATCTTCTAAAACTTTACCTGCCAAAGTTGTACTGGCCTGTGTCCCACCAGTGTGTTTCAAAGCCAAAAAGTATATTGGTCACAAGCACCTGTAGGTGGCTGAGGTGTGACTGTAGTCATCTGTGAGTCATGTTTTCAGTGTGTATTGAAATTCCT